GGAATTTACCCAAAAGCTTAACACCTTGATTGCCGCCCGATTTGGGATTTATGAACACTATCACGGGTATGACATCGGGCGATGGGATGGGCTTCACGATGAAGGCGCGTGGCTCTTTCTTCTCCTCCTTTTGTTTTTGGCGCTTACTCGTGCCCTTCTTTTTACTCGTACCTATTGTAACATTGCTTTTGTTGTTCACTCTTATGGAGGACTTGAAATTTCCCTTAGTGGGCAGTTTGACAATCCAAGAAGGCGGCACAATAATGGGTGCATAGTTGCCTGAAAAAAGTATTAAAGTGTTTAAAAAAAAAATACCACTATCCACTATTCTTTTTAAAAGTGCTCACTGAACTTAGAAATTTAATAACAATCACAACAAGCGACGTTTTCAAAAAATGTATGTAATTATTTTGAATATCACATTTTATTTTTATATGCTTCATATTAGTAAAAATAAAATTTATCGAGCCATGTGTTATCTAAATTATTCTTGGGCAACAGTTTGTTGTTGCTTGTACCCTAGTCCTACCGCAAGTGCGTAATTTTGGAAATAACTAACGGCATCGTCCCACCTTGCAAGCAATCTTTATCCGTTCCTACCCCACAAAATTAAGTCATGGCGATTGGCAGCAACTCTAGAAGCTTTCAGGAAAATGTGCCCACTCACTTTGCTACAGATACGATGTGAACACAAAACGCATGCAATCACTTAAAGTGCGGTGGTGAGCACGCCTGCGAAATTCATTGCAAGCGAATGTGGACTGCAGCGAGCATGTGTGTGTAAGTGTTAGCATGAGATTTCTTATGTATGTATACGTGTGTACGTACGTACATATGTACTTGTACTACTTGCACTTTTAACGAAAACTAACCGTAAAATTTTCCAATCGATTCCTATGGCGTAAGCCAATTTTTAACGAGTGGTTGTCGGGGCGTATGAGCAACATTCGTTCATCTGATTCAGATTACTGATATGTACTTGTACATACATTTAGATATTTTTACATATACTAGATGTATATCCGTAGCTGCATATAATGTCTAATTGCTGAAATTGAACGGTTGTCAAACGCATTAGTCTAATTGCTGTGCGGTGAGCTAATGCAAATGCATTGATATGCCAGCTGGTGGGTAGAGGATATGAAATTGAAATCGGCGATGTGGGAAGTAAGAAGTTTGCAATTGCCTGCGTAAATGTGTCACTGAAGAGTCCTATTTCGGAATATTTACCTTCGTTTAGCCTTATATCGGTCCAACTATTTATGTTTGCGGGGATGACTAACATTTTTATACATGAAAGTGTTTGAGAAAGTGTATAGGTATATAATTTTCTAAAAGATGAACATTTTCGTTATCTTATCACTAGGGCTCGGAATCTCGTGCACTAAAAAATCGAAAATATGCGCATATAATATCGATTGCTGAGTGGAAGATCGACCTATCTCGTCAGTCAGTTCGAAAACGCCCTATCTCAAAAAAATTTTCCAGAACGCCCTATTTCAGATTTTTTTGAAAGACGCTCTATCTCAGAATTTGGTTGAAGAATGCCATATCTCAGAATTCGGCTCAAAAACGGCCTATCTCGCTTCAAAAAGTATTGAAAATGTGCTGACATAGGGCGTTTTTGAATCGGCAGCTGAGATAAGGTGTTTTTGAAACGAATTCTGAAATAGGGCGTTCTTCAACCAAATTCTGGGATAGAGTGTTTTTCAATAAAATTAAAATATGTATGAAGTATTTTACGTAAAATGTCCATGGTAAAATTGCGAATATCTCGGATCAAGCTGAAAACTGGTGAAATTACTATCTGGTCCGAACAAAGTTTTTGCTTTCTTTGAAATTTTGAAAATTTTATGAATTTTGCTTCTCACCGCTCACTGTCATATGTGCATGTAATAAAAAAAATCGAACATGTATTTTTATTACCGTGGGCCGAAAATCCGCTTTTTTTAGAACTTTGATTGGTAATAGCAAAAATATGGTTCATTATGCTCTAAAAACAGTGTTTGTGAGAGATGACAATTTTTGATCAATATCTTAGGCCCGCTCAAGTCCATCAAAGTTCAATGTGCTCAAAAAATAAAAATTAATAAATACATTAATTAATACAGTTTTTTTTTTACTAAAATTTCAAGTATCTTCGAATGTATTAGTCCTACATAATTTGGTGTATGGACCTTTTTTGTAGAGAATCGAAGTAAGCTAAGACAAATAAATTTTTAGCACTTTAATTTTGATGGACTTGGACGAGCCTAAGATATTGACCAAAACTTGTCATCTTTTACACAGATTGTTTTCAGGACATAATGAACCATATTTTTGTTATTACCAATCAGAATTATAAAAAAGTGGATTTTCGGCCCACGCCAGTGTTTATTATGCATTTTCTGATGCTCTTTCAATTGGCGAATTTGGTTTTTAACATTTTGATTTTACCTTGATTTTCAATATTTAAAAATAAATATGCAAATTATGGTTTTCTTCCTAAAAATCGATACGCATTTACACAATGGCCTCATTTTTTATTTTCGATTTCAAAAATTCCCTACAGCGCTAACCCGGTTTTGCGTTTGTGTAGTTGACCACGGCCCGTCGCAGGGCGCTGTAAAGTACTTTTTTGGAAAAATACAATTCTTGGCCTTACACACAACTTTTTTATTAGCTTTTTATTAAGTTTCACCTGTTTGTAATCAAATTTTTCAATAAATTTTTAACCAACTTCTCGATGAGCTAGGGACTTCATACTTCAAACTTAGTTCAGAACCCGATGACAATGCAATATGAAAGGTGGCACAGGTGTCAAAATATTTAGAAACCTCGTATTTACGGCCCGATTTATTTCATATTTAGAACGGAGATATATTACTTAAACGGAAAGATTTTTCGAGTCGATTTTTTTTTTTTATTAAACATCATTAGTTTCTCCTTGTATTGAACATACATATCGAGAAATCATTTTTCATGAAAAGTTAGTTTCAAACCGATTTTTATAGTAATTAAACGTACCGTTTCAAGGAATTGAGGACTGTAATGGTTACTTTGTAAAATAGTGCTTAAAAACCAACTCCAACATTTGAAAATTGTGTAAAAAGTGAAAACTTTTGGGGTGTTGGGCAAATGCACACAGTCTTTAAAGTTGCATATATAAATTGATATATAGACTACTCGAAAGATCTCAGTTTCTTCTTTCTTAAGCCTGTGAGAAATTGAACACTAACTCAGTTACTGGCTTCGTACCTTTAAAGGAATGAAGAAGCGATTTTTTAACCCTAAGTGAAGTCTTTTAGGGTGTTGGGCAAATTTTATATTTCGATACTTTTTTAACTCGACTAGACCTACAAGAAAATTGACATCGCTTCGCAGGTATTTCTACTTCATTCTTCCTTACGGCACTGTGTAATAGCCACCATTAACGATTAAAATATATATAGGGATACAATTAAGGCGACATTTACATATGTACGTCGTTTAAAATATGTTTAACTCAGCTTTTGCGAAATTTTTGATTGATTACATGAATTTATTGTATGAGAATTACAAAAATTTGGGCATGTATTCCTCTTGTAAAAATGTATTTTTTTGCTCTTAACTGAGACTTTTTAAGAGTTATCAATTTTCTTGTGAAAAATTTAGGAAACTTGCTGCTTGTAGTTTAAATAAATTTGGATAGGTATGTTTATACTACAAACCTACCTACAATTTCATTATATTTGAAATTGTTTACTCTTTGAAATTCAGTTATACAATTACTTACCCAACGAACACTCTTCGCCAATTTTCGCTTGATTAAAGCAAGATTCCTTATTGTGGTAGACTTCGTGACACCAAGCGCAGGATAATGCAACTATTTCCTTCGAGCCAAAAAGTTTACCTTGCACAGCCTGTACAAAATAAAGTAAATATTAAGAAAATGTAAAGTCAATTAGTTTCGGCATGTTAGATCAGTCTCTGACAATGTACTAAATAGTGAATGTAAGTAGATACAGTATTATCAAGAGAATAATACTGTTCTTAAGGTTTTCTATCTAAGTCTCAATTGGGCTGTGTTAGCTTTCTATATATATCTTTTATATGTACGGGTACAGGGTCAAAGCTCTTTCTGGGCAATACTGCTCTAAATGAAAAATATTTGTATACTTCTACCAAGAAAAGTTTGTTAGTATTTAACCATTACAAAAAGCTTTTTTTTATATAAACTTAATGTAAGGCACAATAAATCTTGAGGCCGCAGTGCCTTATCCCCAACAGCAAGGAACGATACTAAGCTATAAAGACTTCTTAAGTATAACGGCGTGCACACTTCTAAACGGTGTAATAAGTACGAAAATATACTCTGCAAAATTATAAAATCTTAAATATACATAAAATGATCTGACTCCATGAAACCACTTCTTATTTTGAATTCACTTTTGCTAGTTTCACCTTAAAAGCTCAATCTCTCAATATAAAGTTAATAAAGTTATAATTGCATGACTTGCCGTAAAAATGAAAACTATATACATACAAATGTGCAAAGTCAAATGAAATTGCATACGAACCATAGAATTAATAATAATAATAATAGATTGGCGCTTACACATATGTTAGTGTTTGGCCGAGCTTCTCCTCCGCTTTGTGGCGTGCGCCTTGATGTTGTCACACAAAGCGGAGGGACCTACAGTTTTACGCCGACTCCGAACGGCGATTGTATTTTTATGAGAAGCTGTTTTTCATGGCAGAAATACACTCGGAGGTTTGCCATTGCCTGTCGAGGGACGACCGCTGTGAAGAAAAAACCTTTTTTCTATATTTTTTTTGCGATGTTGCTTTGACCAGGGTTTGAACCCAGGCGTTGCGGAGTGGAAGCGCGCACTGCTTACCACTACACCACAGCGGCCGACCATAGAATTTCTACAACAAAAAATCTATACTCGCTTAAAATTTTTAAGTGAGTGTGAAAGTGCTTAAATTTGTGCTTCATAGCTTCATTTATAGCCATTGCATTACTTCAGCTACAACTCATAAGGGATATATGTAGATATTTGCATTAGACCGGGTCGGTCCTCATATATACGTTTATGACAAAAAATTCCCTTTGAAAGTAAGATTTTAAGCGAAGGGAGTAGTTAGAAACTTTTTCTCGCGATTCTGCTAACAAGTAGAAGAAATTAAATATGTTGTATCTTAGCATCTTAAAAAATGCATAACATACTATATAACATATGTATGTATGTAAGTTTAGGGGTATGCATGTATGCGCACTGAAAGTTTGTAAATATTTTTGAGTGTTTGGAATGTGACGCGCTTATACCTCTGGCGTATAGAAGGCAAGAAAGATCAATCTATAAATATAAAATCTGCTTTCGATGAGCTTACATGGAAGTTTCGGCAGCTAGAAATCTAAGTGTTCATACATATACATGCTAAGGAGAAGTGTTACATACTTAATATGACAGTTGTAACGGTGAATCTGACGAATTCGACGAGTTTTTGCAAATTGTGTAAAACTGTTCCAAAAATTACTTTCCCGGGAAATTTTTTGGGTAGGCAGTAAAGAAGTAGCTCTATATCTCCTAAACTCCTCAGCCTTTACGAAGCATTTTATTACCAACTACTCTGACAGTCGTTTAAATTCAAAGGTTCCACATCCAGTGTAGCTTTCGAGTGTAGGAGAGTCCTAAACCAGCCAGAATCACAAGTATGTGTATTATAGTGGAGTGAAATTACGGATTTTTTTTTGTTGAAATATGAAGAAAGTTGACTTTCTAGTCCAGAAATAAGGGCATACGATGAAGCCAACAACATTTTGCACCCCTATTTCTGGGTCAGAAAAGCAACTTTCTACAGGTAGGAAAAAGCGATTTCTAAAAGAAGCATAATATAACTCCACCCTAATGAACATCGTATTCAAAGGAGAGAACTTACGCGTAAAAATAAGTCCTTATATGATCTGTTCTCCCGAAAGTGGAAAGGAAATACCTTGCAATTGTGCCCGTTTCATATAAAAAAGAGTAATTAAGGAAATCAGGGAGATGGTAAGGCCCTCTACAATTCAGCGAAGGCCTTCTGCAAGTACTTTTTAATCCTTCTTTTTTCGACTGGGTATATATCTATACATTTTTACATACATATGTATGTATATGTATATGTCTTTTTCTCACTCTTCTGCAAACCGCTATTTGCTGTCGGTTTCTCCATTTCCAATTATTTTGTGTGTTTCATTTCTTGTTTTTGCTGATGCTACTTTCTGTTAACGATAATCGACGACAATGGAATGCTCGGACACCTCAGACGTGCCAATATTTTCAATATTCCAGAAAACGTGAAAATTTCTTGGTAATTCTTGTTGCATGCAACATTTACTATTCAATGTGGTTGGTTGCTGCCACAGACATCGTTACCTGCTCTACACTTAAATTATAATTTAGTATGCTGGCAGTGTGCAATCGATGTTGCTAATGGAGATGTTTATTAATAAATTCCATGAAATCTGGTTAAAGGATAAGACGAGCTCGAAATATGAAAAGATAATGGCGTGGTAGGATGGGCAGCTTATGAGCTTGAATAATTATATAAATAATTGGAAATGAATTAAATTTGGCTAGAGGTTTGAAAGCGTTCATTGGCATGCACTGCAGGAGTGATTTTGCGGTTTAAGTAGCGATTTTCACAAATTTAGTTTGCCAATTCAATATAATCGCTTACTTAAAAGCTTTCAAGAATTAATTATGTACATATACACTTGCTATGATATCGTCACCTAAAGGTGAAGAGGTGCCAAGTCCAGTCGATGTTATTTCGTATTACCTGCCATTCTGTGTCAAAAACTAAAAACTGGACTTGGCACCCTTTCACCTTTTAGTAGCGATATATTTCGAACAACATTCGATTTACTCACCTTTCCGCACTGTTTGCATTTGCCCTTTTCCATTTTGCGATGCACCCAGTGATGATGCGTTGTCGATTGTTCCCTGTATTGTCGAACGCCTACGTCTCGATATGTTGGCTTACATGCTAATTGAGTCTTTTCATTGACGATTGGAATGCAATTCTGATGTGCAATTAATTGGCAGGCCGAGCATTTCATGCGTTGACCACTTTTCTGTTGTTGCATAAACAAATTAAATTAAAAATGTAAAAAAAAATTAATTAGTAAGTATAAGTAGAAATCCTTGACTGCTAACATCGTGCGACTAAAATCAACTTTTTTTTGGGTTTTCAGGAAAAATTGCATATGGACGTGAAACTATAAATTTTATGTAAATATTAATGCTGCATACTCAGTTTTTCATTTTCTCATCAATTTAATTTCTGATAGAATTTTAAAGTTTCAAAGCACTAAATTTTTCGAAAAATGGCTTAAATACTTATTTATACTCACTCTACGATATTAATATAAATATCAAACGAAAGAGGAGAATATCTAACTATTAAACAAAAATTTAGTTTACTTTTCGCCAGGACAATTATACTACAATAATATTCCAGTATAGGTGGAAATTGTTTTAAAAAATGTGTCTGTTTGTTTTATATAAACATCTCAGTGGATTGTTTGATTTAGATTCAGATCATGCAGAACAAATATAGTGAAATTTTGGAAAGGTGTAAAATCTTTAATGTGAAAACGAAAGTTATTCCATTTTGCAAATGTTCATTAAAATTGAATTTGACTGTAAAACAGATGACAGCCCCTTCGAAACTGTTTTCGTAATAAAGCTTTCTCAAATATGTTTCGTTCGTGATCTATATTGCAATATTTCATTAAAGTAACAGAATAAATTTTACTCGACTTTTAAAAATATTTTCGAAATAAAGCCTCTTTTGTTGGACTTGTCATCATCATAATATCGTTAATTAAAATTTAATTTTAAACCGGTGGCAATCCGTTTTAAAAATATTTTCGAACCCTTCGAAAGCCTAGCCGTACATATCTATTAACATGCATATTCTAATCTTCATTTAACTTAAGGAAAAATTGTGTTTGACTTCAAAACAAGTGGCAACATTCTTCAAAATATTTTCAGAATAAAGCTTCCTTAAACATCATTTGTTTTCCACGCACATTGTAATACTTCATTTAACTTATTTAGTTAAAACTTATAATTTAAAATTGAATTTAAGAATTTGATGAGGTGGCAACCCTCTTTAGAAAATATGCTATATGTTATTCTAAGCCATAAGCTATCTCTAAGCTAAATTTTATCCAAAGAATGAGAAACAAACATACTCACTCACAAACTTTCGCATTTATAATATTAGTGGAATTACTTATTGTATTCATTAGGGGAAACGGATACCGTTGCGTATACTTTATTTCGTTGGAAGAAAGTTAAATTCGTTTTTTTTTACGTTTTTATATTTAAACCTATTTTTTTTATTTTGGCCTTTTAGCAATACTAACTATATAAAATCTATATTTTCCGTGAATATGAATTTTTCCTGGATAAATTTTACTGTCGCACGGTGAAATGATAAATGACTTAAAAAATTAAAATAAAAATTTCTGAGGTTTTCTTATTTTAAGTGGCTGCCATCAATGGTGGATTGGTGCACTTATACCGGTTATTCAGTCTAATATTCTAAACTTTAGAATGAATGCTTTAAAAGCTGAACGACTTAGCTGCTCTAATGAATTAGATTTTCCTTCTGAATTAAGTGATTTATTTTAAAAAATTAACGAAAGAAAGAGAAAATCGGAAAGCTGCTTCTTCGTTGTTCATCTATGCTTTTTATGAATAAGTTCAGAAAATATTAAAACATAGTGTCGAAAATTATACGCTTAGAGTGATTCGGCGAAATTACAACTAGAAGTTCGAGAATAATGATTTTGTGTATATTCCCACAAATTATTAGCTATAAAACTAAGTACTAAAGAACTTCCTTGCAGGGATACGTGCGCTCTTGCGGATAAGTTGGCATGCGCGTGTACGATCGTGTGTAGGCGTGCGTTCACGCGTGCCGGCATGCGTATGAGTGCAGCGTAATATTTAATGTGTGTTAAACACGCAATAACTGAATTACATGAAACAATTTTGTAATTGATTTAAATTGCTTTGCGCCGCCTTATTGTGCTGCATAAGCGCGAGCATTCATTCGCATTTTAAATGAGCTGCATTTAATTAAATTTGAAGCTTTTAGTCTGATTAATTCCGTTCGTTGGCAGAGCCGAATAATGTTACTTATGTACATATATATGTATGTATGTATGTATGTATAGTCATAGTTTAAGAGTAATTAGCTGCCACACTTTACTGAAAATACTAGTAATTAAC